CAGGATCAAAGAGGTAGACTAGAGGTTCCTTCAAACCTAAATGGTTTGYAACATTCATTTGACCTGGCAGAGCATATTTCCTCTGCAGAGGGGATTTGATGCTGGGTAAGGACTGATGCTCCAAGACTATTATGGAATATGTCCACTGTTGATTGTAACAGCTTTGTGAGCAACTGAGTTACAGTGAAGAGAAACTTTCACATCTCCCAGGGTGCCTGAAGTAAATTTAAAGCTGGGGCAACACTGAGTTCTCCTTCCTTGTAGCTGCTTCAAATCGCTATTGCACGTGGTAGGAGATTCTATCCTAGAGCCCGGATTTGATGCTTGTCTTGTGACCGTTTGGCATGACTGTTCCCATTGCTTAAGCAKATCTCTCTTGCCAAGAGGATCTCTGGCTTCAGTTGCATTTGCCTGGGAAGAGGCATCAGTGCAATACATTGCAGTCTTACTGGGGRAGCTGCAATGTCCTTATGTGGCTGCAGAGGTTCTGTTAAATTGGAGACAAAGTGTGTAAGAACATGCTGTGTCCTCTGGTCAGTCCCTTGTCTTTCCACTCCTCCAATTAGCCTTGAAATAATTGGTTTCTGTTAACTTCAACAGAGGTCTCAGAGGGTTTGTCTTTATTTTCAAAAATGGAAGCCTCATGTAAGCTATGCAGCTGTAGAAGAGATGGTGCCCAGTGTGCCTTAAAGGCTGATTCTGGGCTTTCATGGGAAATTTGTCTCAAGTTAAGGAGAAGTTCAGGCTGGAGCTTTGGATACTGGGGGCACAGGGAGCATGGATCCAGGGGTCCAGAGGAGATAACCTGGAAAATCAGGCTTCAGTAACTGAGTGCTTGGGGACTTTTTAATTTAGGTTATTTTAATCCTTTCAGAGGTTGGTTTTATTTCAGAAAGAGCCATTTAATAGTAGAAACATGAAAGAAGCAAGGGTTAGAAAGGGTATGTTTTCCTCTTAAGGCGGTGTTTTCTAAAGTAGGTCATGACCCTTTTATGCAGGAATTTTGCAGCTGCTATCCTAAGGGTTGGAACTATGTCTGAGAGCCTACAGAGGCGAAAGCAGGGGGTATTAGGCAGATCCTAATACCCATTTGGGGTCTCTTTCCTCCCCCCCTTGAACAAAATGATCTCCTGCTTTTCAGGAATAAAGCAGCAATCATTTGGCTGTGCCCGGTTTTCATTGTTTTGTTAAGCTGTTATGTTGGAAGAGATTATCCAGGGAGCAAATTTTCTCCGAAAACTGATCTTGAGACATGCAGAGGGAAGAGCCTCAGCACTGACCTTGATCAGAGTGTCTTGAGGTGGGGAGTGAGTGGGAACCCAGCACAGGAACGTTAACCCTGTGCTGCCCAAGTTGCAATTGCAGTTGGCTCTATTTGCAGCAGGTCTGTGGCTGCTGATAGAGTTGGTTTTCCAAGTTTTGCTACCCTGGCACAAACTGCCCTTGGGGCTTTTCCTCACTGAAGGTTGTTCATAGCAGCCTGGGAAATTGCTCCTCTTCCCACTGTTCCCCATATATTTGCTGCCTTCTCTTAAACTCTACARAATTTCCTTGATGGGCTTTTTCTCTCTGTCAGTGTCATCATCTTTCCCTATGCTTGTTTTCATTCGCAATGTGTTTGGCATCCTCGCTGCAGCTTCTCTCCTTTCTTTCTCTTGCCACCCTGGCATTTAATGAACAAACTGTGTGACTGCAAAGGCTGAAGTGCCCGTGTTGCCATGTTTTCTGAACTCTCCAAAGAAGCATGGAAACCCGGCTTTGTTTGGTCCCACAAGCACGGCACACTGCTGCTGCCACCAAAGAGCAGCTTGCTTGTGGCACATCGTGCTGCAGCTTGGCTTAATCCTCGCTTGATACGCTTTTGAGATTTCATTGTTTCTCTATAATTAGTGCTACAGAGGAGCTGAAAGAAATGACGAATTAGTGAGAGAGGGGGGAGTGGGGAGAGCAGGTGGTGATCGAACTAAAGAGAGCTGCCAGAAAAGTAGGAGCAGCAGGGAATTAAATGGGAGGAGTCTCGAGTTCAGATGATTCCCTGCCATGTGCCCAGAAGGATTTAGTTTGGGATTTCATTACTGTTCAAATAATGCCACACACTCATAACAGATCGGGTCCCTSTAGGCTGGGGCATTGTCCAGCACTTAGTGAAAAGCAGTTTTTGCCCTGAAGTCCTAGTGAGCCTTGATCCCACAGACTTGAGGACTGGAAAGGAGTTGTAGCATGAGTGGTTCTGGTTTTAATTAGGCTATATCTATTGTTTCTGGTAGTAACATCCTGAAAGAATAAAACACAAAACTATTCTTTATGTGGTGACTTCTATAAAGCCCTGGACTTCATCTTGTGAAGGATTTGGTTCATGGTAGTGATTTGCATCTGGAAGAAGCACCTCTGCCAGTTGTACTTACACAAACTGGGTTTAACTGGCRCAGATATCGTGGGATGTCAGGCTGTGGGGGGAAGCAGGAGTATGCTGATACTGTTGAGTGTCTGAGATATCCAGAAAGAGTCTTTGAACATATATTCCTGKGCTGATCAGGACGGGAAGCTTTAAGATGAAAATACAGACTAAAAAGCTAACTGGGGAATGAAAAGGGTTGTGTGACAAGGGAGTCCTCTAAGGTGCGCAGTCATATATTCTTCCAGCATCTGGCTTGTGTTTTCAGTCTCTATTACTATGCGCCAAGACATCCAAAGAAAGAAATTATAATATTGATGCTTTGAATATATGAGCAGCAACATTTCTTCTGAGACCTAACTCTTTCTGAAGATATGAGACACCGTTTGTTTTTTGTTCTGACTTCCAAAAAGCTATTGCTGTAGGGAGACCAGCAGTGCTAGGAAGTGCAAACTTGCTTCTGCCATTTGTCACCACTTCTGTGTGCTCCCCTCTCTTTGTCTTTATGTGTTTTTACTTTCCCCCCCCAACAAAGAAGCTACAAAAACAAAACAGAGAAGCAGATACTGGGTGGAGACGTGTAGGTCAGGAATTCTGCCACCCAGGAGTCCCAGTGAGTGGGAATACATCTGTGCTGAGACTGAGACTGTTGCTTTTGTGCTGGATTCCTGCAACTGCTGGGCAGTGAGTACAGGCAGTGTATGTGGAGTCTTTCTTTGGGATGTTTGTCCTGTGCCTAATGTTGTGTATTTCAGCCTGCTCCTGGCAGTCTAAGCAAATTCTGCTGTCAAAACCTCCCCCTCTTCTCTTTCTGAGCACTTTCTGATAAATGTCTGCCTAGACCCCTCCATCATCTCTGTCATTTGCTCAAGGACCTGCTTACAGCACTCAAATTTTGTTTTCAAWCCCCCTTGTAAATTCTTGCTGTTTTTGCTGTCCTTTTCCTCATAGCTTTTTTTTTTTGCCTTGTGCTATGAATAGTCTCTGAAAAAAATATGAGTGCAAGTAATAAATGGCCTCAGTCTTGAACTTCTTAAAAACCCATTTGCTTTGTGAAATAATAATGCTTTAGCAACCTTAGCATTTTGTGCTCTACACACTTTGCCTTCTGCCATTAAAATATAAACTCCTGAGTACAGGGCATCCTGGCAAGCTGATGCTGTTGTCCCAGGTTCAGTGGCCATACCATATAAAGTGAAGTCAAAGTCCTGTAGCTCCACTATAGTAGATACTGGTTGAAGATTAGAGGAGTAGAGTCCCACAGTTGAGGGCTTTTAAATTTATTTCAGTATGACTTGAAATCAAGCAGTTTTCCTGTATCTTTCAGGGCTGGATTTCAGGCTCTTTTCCCCACCTGGAACCTTATTTGATATGATGCAACTTGTTGTGAGAAGGCTCTTGGTAGTAGTAGGAAGCTTCAGTGGCTTTTGTTTGACGATGAGATTGAGCGTTTTTGCCCCCCAGTTTATGTGAATGTACTAGAAAAAAAAATCACAAAGCATGCAAAAATGAAGTGCAGATTCTGGAAGTAGTTTTTATAGTGTTAAAAATAGGAGAATCTGCTAAAACAGGTGTGTTACTCAAAATGCAGARTAGTAGTTCTCATTTCTCTCAGCTCAAATGGGCTCAAGAGTTATGCCTGTGATAATAAACAAAATAGCTGTGGTTTATTTTTATTAACATTTTTTAGGTATTGGCAATAGGAAGCTTTTGAGCTATTTTTCACTTTTTCTACCCCCTTGTTGATTAATTTGTATTTACTYCTTTCCAGTGAAGTGTGTAAATGTGGGGAACCAAGATGAAGGTAGAAAGTAAAGCAACAAGGTGTCCTATTGATGAGAGGTGAATGTTGCAACAACTTCTGGAGGCCAAAAAAAATGGACTTAACATCAAGTATAAGTCTCACTGTTGAAAACTCCTTTTGATGTCAAAGGATATGATGTTGCTCTGCACATTAAGTTCAGAACTCCCTGCTTGTAGTAGATTGAACAATTGTACATTAAAATGTGGTTATTTTTTCCCCTGTTGGAATTTAAGTGTTCTCTGGCTGCAGTTTTCAATCCAGAAATTGAGGCAATGTGAGAGCTGGAGCTGAACCTGCTTGAATGAAGCCTACCTCATGTCTTTGCATAAAATCAGGGGAGATGAGAACAGCAATTAGTGCATAAAAATATTTGAAAAATCTCATTAGTGTCAGTAGCAAAGAGTGGCTTGTTTTGACACTTTAGGTGAACACATCAGGTTAAAAGTATGTGTGACCTTAGTGGCATATCTTTTAAAAGTACATGAGTAGAATCACTCTTTTATAAAGAAGCTGGAGTCTGGAGGGATTTTTTGGTCTGYGGAGCTATAATGATCCTTAGAAGTGATCATAAAGATCTGCTTGTTTTCYTTCAGTTTGCCCAGCACTTGGATGTGGCAGCTGAGCCAACCCATGGAGCTGCACACACCTGAGTGGGGAGTGCCTGTAGGGCTTTCACTGGGTTTTTACCTGGCTCTGCTGTCATTACTGTCTAGCCCACAGAATTTTGTTGTCTGACCTACCTCCCTTCCTTYCTGCTGAAGTTTGTAAGGTGTTGGTAACTTTCTCTTTTTCCCCCAACAGGGAGTGGAGCGACTGCAGTGGTCCAGGCAGCCTTCTGTGCTCCGAAGAAGGAGAAAGTGGCCATTAAACGGATCAATCTTGAGAAGTGTCAGACAAGCATGGATGAACTCCTGGTATGCAATCAGAATTGTCTGAGGAGTTGTATTTCAGTTATCTCTGAAATATCTCTTTAGCCAAGTGCCTTAAAACCTTTCTTGAGGTGAGGTGAAGGTGAGAGAACTTGACTGACTTCATTAGAGGCGGCTCAATTTTCCTGGTTGTGGGACATGGTACTTAAAATGTTAAAAAGATCAACTGTTGCAAAACTTGAGACTATTTATTTAGAGCTCAGCACTTCGTATAATCCCTTTGTTTTGAACTGAGTTAATGTGCAAGTGTGAAACTCAGCCATACCCACAAGAGCTCTGAAGTCTGAGGGGAATCCAGAGCTACATGCTTTCAGAACATTTAAAATTTAAGGGAATGGCTTTGCTTTTTTCCCTTTCCTTTCCTGMAGTTCTTTACATTTTTTCCCTTCACCTGTAAAGAGAAAAACTGAGTGAATTAGCTCTTGTTCCTAATCTCTTTCTGGTACTGGTGCCAGCTAAAGGGATCACTGACATGTTGCAGGCTGCCATATGGAAACCCACGTAATTCTGAGTTCAGGACAGGAGATAGAGTCCTTTGGAGTTGTAGCTCTGTAATTTTCTGCTGCTCTGTGCTCCTTTTCTCAAGGTTATCTCAATGAAAAACAGATTTTTGCAGTAGCCGTGGTAACTGAAATTTCCCTTTCTCATCTGGCTACTATGTTGATGGGCTTGGTTTCTTCCTTTCCATGTGTGTGAGCTGGTGCTGCACAGTGGTTGCTACATTCACCTCTCATATGGAAGGTCCTTGAATTTAAATCAGGTAGAAATAGGCATTCCTGTGCACATTGGGGTATCTCCACTAAAATGAGAAAGCTCTCTGGGGTAAAACTTTGCTCAGTAAATATTGGCATTATGGAGATGAGGCCTTGTACCATCTTCTAAAGCAGCTCTCTAGGATTTTAATAATCCTACTTGTATCTGTCCACTTGCATCTTGGCAGCTTCTATAGTGTTACCTCAGGCATTTGTTTTGGTGCTTGCAATTGGAAAGTAGAACAGAGACAGCATTTGGGAGTCCTGGCTACCTGTACATTTGTATAATCTTCAGCAAATCACCTGAASCATGGTTCCAGTTTCCATCTAATGTGTAATGCTATTTTTGTCATTATGGGTATCTGCAAATTTGCCCTTGTAAAGAGGAAAGGCTCTGCTCATTCTGTCMCATTTTAGTGCTCCTGTGGAGAGTTGCGTGTAGGACTCAAGAACTGTGTTCAAATCCTCTTATGGCTCATGCTAGTGTAGGAGTTCAAGATCTCTTCTCACAGTTGTTCTTTTTGTCCTTACACCAACCCTTGGTATCCTTTTCAAGCCTTTCATATGGCTTGCCCATACTACCCTGCCTTAGTGATATTCCTGACTGCATTGTCAGGATGTAGCAATCGAGATTGTGAGTCTTTGAGTAATTGCCAATTCTGGCTAAAAGGGGTTAGGTTCAGGAAGACACACTATGGAGGCTTCATGTGTCATTTTAGATAAATACTTCCAATTGCAGATTCTAAATCTCTGGCTGACCTGTTCCTCACAATGTATTTTCCTGTTATGGGTAGACCTGCAATGTATTGTTGTTCTCAGTTCTCCAGGGCTTTCAGTTTTGTAACTGGATGTGGTGTGGGCCCTTCTCTATGCTTGGGTATGTAACTGTAAATATTCTTGAACTTTAAAGTCACAGAGAGGTAGAGGGGCATGAAGATAGTTCTCAGCTGCAGGAGTTTCCTGGAGCAGGGGCTGCCGAGGTAGATGTGTTATGTGAAAAAGTGTTTTTTCCCTGTTCATTCTGAATTTGTCAGTTTATTGGATCACTCAATGTTGTTTCTCAGTGCAAGGGCCAAAAGAATGGAAGTTCCTGATTTCCCAGCTCTGTGTGCTCTTACCTTCRCTTATTTTTATCTTGTTTCCATACCTGCTTCTACCCTAAAGTAAATATTCTCAAGTTTTACATTCTTGTAGTCTCCCTTCATGGCAGTTTTCCCAATTAGTTTAATTAATTTTATTGTCTTTTTAGCAACTATGTCTTATTGCAGGATTGTGGTGCTCCCTTCCCACCAAAAGAAAAAAGATAACTGTAGATGATTGCAAGTTAAAGTTGTTTTAAGAAGCAAGTGTAAATATGATGAGTTCAAACTGGGGTATGTTATGCCCGCTCCTTTCTTTCTCCTCTCCCCCAGTGCAGTTAAAATCACAAACTGGGGCTTTCATGAGTTCCATTGTTCTATTGCTCTGAAGGCATTTGAGCACAGCAGCTTATGGTGAGCTTTGCTTTACTGCCTGGGGACTGGGCAGTGCTCTTGGGTTATAGAACTGCCCACTCATCGGGCAGTGTGATAGCAAAGGGAAGATCATGCTTAAATTATTTTATAATTATTTTTCTATAGTGCCTCAGACCTGTAGACTKCTCTGTGTGAAGCAAGCTTCCTTATTTCCAGAATCTTCCTAGCCAAGAGGGTAATACAGTGCTCCAGTGTCTTTGGAGAGGGTAGAGAGAGCAGCAAACAGTTCTTTCTGTTGCTGATCCTGATAAGGATGATTTAGTTCTTGTACACCTCTTTCAATGTCTGTACTGCTTAGTGGTTGGCACTTCTTGGGATGGAGGTAAGAGGAAGGTTAATTTGAAGTGGGAAATACAAAAGTAAGTGGCTCTATCACCAGCTGAATGGATGAGTGGCCTTGAGCTTCCTTTAAGCTTTGCAGATACCCGGAGGCCAGGAAATCTGGGACYACATCCTTGCTTTGGAGATGCCATGCTTAGAGTGAGTAAGTGCTATGACTTGAATCATTAAAGGTATTGATCTTGATCCTTTTATCTCAATATACATTTGACCTGTGTGGGTGGTCAGGAATRAACTGCACACTTTGCATATACTGTATGACATTCTGGGTTAATGCAGTGGATTKATTTATTGCTGCTACAAGGTATGGAAAATGCAGGAAGGCCCAGTTTTGTTGAATCATGAGCAAGCCAAGTCAAGGGCATTCAGCTCTTCAGCTGAAGTGCTAATTGCTGTAAAGAATGTGGACAGCAGGAGTAATGCTGTGCAGAGATATGCCTCTTTCTAATCCATCTACTGAATGAGGTGATRTTAGTCAAGAGTTTATTTCAGTGCTTGATTTTTATTTTTTCCCTGTACGTTTTTGAATTCTCCCATATATTTTCCCATACTGTCTGTAGGATTCAACTGACAAGGAATTTCAGTGTAGCTTATAATGGTTCTTACACAGGGGTGTGACTGGGAGTGGACTGTAAGGAGAGGTGGTCAAATATAGTGTTGTCTACAAATGATCATGGACTTTTTGTTTTATTTCTGAAGTGGAATTTATTCAATTCCAGTTTTTATTTGTCTTGCAACCCATGGTCGTTAACAACCACCTGGTTTGCAACCAGTCTGTTTGTTCATATGTTGTATTTCACAGCTGCATACCATTCAGTKCTGTGTTTTCCTCTTACTCTTTTCCACTGTGGGATGCTGGTTGCTTTACTGCTGTTGCCAGTCCTTGAAACAGTGGTGTAACATCTGTCTCTAAATAACCATGCCTCCAGCTTTTTTCCTTATACAAGTGTTTTCTTGTTTTAAAGAATTATTGATCCAAAAGGCCTTAAATCCCCTCTCTGTCCTACAAACTCTGCTTCATTTTCATGCAATTAAAGCTGAATTTTCTTTCATCCAGATGGAGACTTTTTCCTCCATGAGTAGCAGATGACGCGRGTTGTCAGCTTAGCAGTTACCAGAAATGTTGAACAGCAGAGGGGGAAACATAAGCTATGGGATATTTCACATTGGGCTTTCCCAGCTAGAGGGAACTGCTGCCTGTTTATTCCTTAAGATCATTCAACAGGGGACAGGCTCAGGAAAGAGCATGGGAGATGTGATGTTGCTGTTCCTAGAAAGATTCCAAATTCTTCCTAGTCCAGAGGCTGATAGGACTGGACCTGACAGGTCTGCACACAGCAGCTGTGAAGGTATTACWCTTTCACTGCTGTGGCCAGAGGGCAGTTAAGGAGGCTGAGAGAACAAGTTGAACGGCAGTTAAACAGAAATGTCCTTCAGRATTTCATGGAAATAACCCGGGGAACTTGCTGCCAATACCACGGAGATCAAACATTGCATGAGATTAAATAAATCAACCTATAGTTGAGAAGGTTAAATTAGATAGGATTTAAAAAAAGGATTATGAACTCCCCTGGTTTAGAGCATAAGCCAACTGTTAACTGCCCAGGCTTAGTCAGAAGTCTCCCCTCTGGGCAGATAATTGTGTAACTGCTTTTTATAGGGTTTTTACACCTTCTTTTGAAAACTTGGACAGGATATTGAACTGCCTTTGATCTGACAGAGCACTTCCTACAAGTGGATTAACCGGACTATAAGGTTGTTGGGAACAAAGCAGCAGATTGCTGTGGAAGTAATACAGATGTTTCATCCACGCCTGTCATYTGATGGGAGTTGCCATTATAATTCCATTTCTAGGCCTGAGGACCTTTACACTTGCTTCAGGAGAAAAAAGTCCCCAAGTGTCAGTGCCAGGGAGTCTGATGTGTAATGTGTGGTTTCTGCGTGGTCATTTGATCTGCTTTGTTATGTTTTTTGTGTGTTGGGATTGTGTCTTAAGAGTTAAACCTATGCTGGGTACCTGCTTTGTTTTATTGTTTATAAAAGCAACAAGAACATAAATCTTAGTTACTGGACTGATTGAAGTGTGGGTTTTTTTTGGAAAAGTTCAGTATGAATATCAGGATTAAAGGTARTGAAATCCTGAATGTAGAATGTCTTCCTTCCCTTGGAATGGATGAGCGYGAGATGGTGCATGTAAAGAACTTTGGAGAGTGCAGTTGTCCGTGGAGACTAATCACATTGAAAGCATTGTTGAGCTGTAAGCRCTGGGTATTTGATCTGAACAACTGTGAGGGTCAGTGATAGGTTAGTTGGTGATGTGGGTTAAGCTGGCTTGCTTGTATCTGTGAGAGGAGGCAGTCACTTGTCCATTTGCTTTTTAGCTGAAAACAATAAAAAATGGTCCCATAGGAATTGCTACTCCACAACAGTTYATAAACACCTGCTTCCTTCAGTACATTTTTACCAATGTTGAAGACTTTGAGAGCAGGAACAACCACTCAATGAGGCTGAAGAGTAGCCGTTAAAGTGGGCAACTGCTGAATGATTTGCCATGGGACTGTTTCACTGTATCACTGAAGATTAATTAATGGATTAAGTGTCTTTATCCTTTTCAGAATTGTTTCTTTCCCACTGTTGTTCTAGGGCTAAGCTGGGCCCTCTTTACTCATGCCAGTGTAGCTCCTGTAACCACTTGAGGCAAGGGGCTGAACTGGATAATCCAAGGAGTGGGACTTGCATCAGAATCTCTGATTCTGAGCTTTGTGCTTTTTCCCCACGTTCTTAAAAAAAGTCTCTTGAGTTGAAAAGAACCATGTTTGGTTTTGTATTGGTTTTTATTTTATGTTGCCACTTAAAATGGCAAATGAATTATGATTCTCAATTTTCTCAATTTTATGATTTTTAGCTGAACCATTAGAATTTCACTTKAAGTAAAATGTGAATGGTTATGGCTGCCTGTAGGACTGGAGCTCTAAATCCTGCTTTAAACAGATGAAGAGCAGCTTTAATGTGTTATCTCTCAGCTGAAATCTCATGGTATAAGATCTTTGCCAGCYGTAGTTGAAGCACTGGTGTTTTCAAGGGGTGATCACGTCTGACCTCCTTTGATTTCTGCCCCAGCCATRCTTTCCCTCCTCAATTCTCTTATGGTTGTGATTGCCTTCAAATGGGGTAGCCAAGCTGACAGCTTTCTGGACTCTTCTGAAGTTGCAGGTAGCCACATGAAAGCGCTCTGCTACTGTGCTGTGTCTCTTGACTTCATGTCAATGTGTAGGAAGTAAAACTAAAAGCACAATTTTTATCCTGGTATTTGAGAGCAAGTGTCTCTAAAGCAAGCCTCAGTGACAGATAAACACAGAGTAAAAGGTGATGTGAGAAGAAAATACCATTAAGAAAGCTGAGCTGGTAACTAAAATACTACTTTACCTGCTCCTTTTAATTCAAACTTCAGTTGTGTGTCAGTGGGCAAATAAACCCTCATCCAAAATAGCAGATATCCAGAAGTATGTCTGACTTACAGGAGATTAATAGGTTGCTTATGATTCTAGATTATACTTCACAGCAGTTTTATTACTGTTCTGCAAGCCTTGAAATGTTTCTTTTATTGTCTGTAGAAGTACTGAAAACATTTGTCAGAACCCTTAAYGGGAGCCATGGAGGCATTTAGAGCTAATCCCTGTCTATTTGCTTTTGGTTTTTGACAATACAGATATTTTTAATATCTCACCCAGGGTGAGCATGTAACCATTTCCAAACCATTGCCTGTGTCTAGACATGTTTTCGTYGGGAATTCATTCTCCATAGCTGAATAGAAAGCAGAGCAATTTATGGGAATTGGCAGGAAGGCTGTCTCTCATCACTGAAGCCATGGAGTGTGAGGGGTGTCGGGTGGGAGAGCTGCTTATCACCAACTGCATCTGTGGATGGCTTGCGGGTCTGTATGAAGTGACCCATGGCTGTTGGCAGAGAGGGAATAAAGCAACCTTTCCACTTTAAAACTTGTATAGAGCAGCGCAAATAAATTGTTACAGAGGGGTGGAAATCACCAATTTTTATTAGCTGCCTTCCAATATAGTTTTGATGCTGGGGAAAATGTGGGAAGTACAGTTGCAACTGAGATCTGGGGACAGCAGCCTTGTTAGGGAGGTGGGAAGAGGAAACCTTTGTCTGCTATGGCTTTGTTGTGTTTGAAGAGCAGCAAACTCTCCCAAAAGCTTTGGGAATAGCATTAAAGCTGAGCTTACTACACACAGAATGGCTGCTGCTGCATTTTATCTCTTCCTACTGTAAGTATGATTTTGAGCAGAGCTGCCCAGTGATCCTTGAGTGGGATTCCTGCTTTAGCTACAGCCCTTCAGCCCCTGCATTTGTACTGCTGGAGCAGACTGTGTATRTATGACAGAATTGGCTTTGTTTCAGTTATGCCAGGAAGCATTTTAACCACAAAGCCCACTGTGATTTGCAACTCTCACTTAAAACAACTGTATGAGTTGAGCTTTCAGGATGTCAGTACCTTCCTTGGGGGAGAAGAAGAACCAAGCTTTGATATAGCCAGTGAGATTAGGCTAGAAAACTGCTGAAAATGAAGTGGGGGTTTGTGGGTGGAAGGTAAAGTCTGACTGGCTGCTGCTCCTTCTGATTGGTAATAATGTAAAAACACTGAAAATCGTGGGCTGTGATGCAATTAATTATTCAGAGCTKTGCTTCACTATGTGAGAAATGGATTAATCTGGCTGTGTTAAACATCCACTGGCTGATAGAGGTGTTTAATTGCACAGATCAGGTTTGTGATTATTTATTTCCCCTCTTTATGCTTTGGTGCACACGACAGACTTGAGCTATTTTTTTTTAGCTGTGTTTCTCGGCCCAGGCAGCAGATTGTGGTAGTGAATGAGAGAGGAAGTTCTTTAAAAATAATAAAATGGTAACTGTCATGGAATGCCTGAAAAATTCTGTAGTACAGAGCTACTAAAATGGCAAAGATCTGATCCAAGCTACGGTCTTAAGTAAACTTGGTACAGACTTTGTCTCATTGCCTCCTGTACTCCAGTAGGATATGTGAATATATATTAAATATGCAATGTTTGTGTATAGTTCTCATATTACTCTTGATCTCCCAGGGAACTGCTTCAAAATATTTTGAGCAGTCTAGCTGAGAAAATATAAAAAGAGCTCCTCTAGATAATTTCTAAGAGTGGTGGATTTGGGGCAGGTCTGGCTGATGGGATGTATTACTGGTCCTGCTTGCTGCTTTCCACCTTGGTTTCCTCTGGTGCCACTTGTGCTCATGTAGTATATTTTAATTGTCAGAGAGAGAACTACAGAGAGCCACAGAAAACTCCAAAGTTGCTGATTTATTCCCTTTTTGAAAAATGGCTTGACACAAGTGAAAGTTTGCGAGGAAGGGAGCTGGATCTGTCAGAGTAAGCAGAATATATTGTTTTAGGCTATATTTATTTTCACAGAGTGTTTTTTAGTCAGAGTATGCTACATGGAGATGAATAGCCTATTCCCCACTCTTCAAATATCCTTTCCTGTTTAGAAGGATTCTTCTTTAATCTGCTTGTCAAGTTTCCTGGAAAGCTGGTGCCTCTCCTGGGGAGGCAGAAAGAAGAACCAATTGCTTTGGATTCCTCAAATGCACCTACTCCCTGAAAAGTGGTGTTGAGTGGATAAATCAACATGAGCCTGTTCCTTTGGAGCTGTGATTGCCAGCTCAGGCCTTGCCAAGGGGAAGCAGTGACTTTACACTGGACTCRGTCACAAGCAGAGCGTTGTACAGGAGCAGGAGGAGAATGTGCTGCATTTGTGGGGTGTTCTAGGCMCGAGTGAATTCTTCCCAGAGCTCTTTCTTGTTCTTCAATACCAGGGAAATCTTGTGCTTAGAGGGTGGGCAGGATCAGGGTGTGAAGGGTCCTTGCTCTCCTCCTTCCATGTGTTCAGTGAAGGAATGCGGTAGTTGAGGGCAGAAGTTCAAGGTAGAGGGGATGAGTGTCTGGAGTGGGTGCTGCTAAAGGGTACAACTTGACRGGTTGGGGGACTTGGCTAAAGCACAAAGGCTCAGCTGGATGCAGTGCAGGGTGCCAGGCTTGGCTTAGTGAATGGCTTTTGTCTATGAACAGCCAAGAAACTGCGAGTCTTTCTGTCCAAACTGGTGATTTGTGCTTGCATAATGAAATCAATGTTTTCTGTGATGTTATTCCCTCCACAATCTGGAAAATCTCAACCCTGAACAAAAACTAAGACTAAGCACAATCAAAACTCAAAACAATTTAATATCTGAACATACTTCATCTTGTCCTCCATTGGTAGTAGCTGATAACTTTCTAATCTCAAAGTGACCTTCCTCTTCTTCCAGTATGGCATAGGATACAGCTGTCCTTTGTGCCTTCCACCTGATTGAGCTAAGCCATCTGCTTTCCTACTGGGAAGAAAGATTAGGAATAAGAGGTCTTTTTTTCCCAGAGGCCAGTATTTCCTTTTCTCATCCAAATGACAGTCTTCAATGGATTAAGCATCTGTTTCATAGTGTCTTACTGAAAGGAGAAGTCAGCATGAACTTTGTAGGTCACAAACTGAAGTGAATTTTTGGGAATATTCTATTGTAGCTGCATGCAGATGTTTTGGTTGCCACCACTTTGATGGCATTACCAAGGGTTTTTTGGTTAACTTTTTCTTCCTCTAAACAGGAAGGAATGACTTCCTAAATAAGGAATAACAGGAATAACACCCTAAAATACTTTCGGGCTCTAATATGATGCAGCCTGTGTGTTTAGAGTATTTCTAGATTTTCTACATTTATCTTCTAGGTATCCTTTTCCTTTGCACCCTCTTTGTGTCTTGAGGAAGATAACTTCTGTGCCCAAGGGKTATTAATCATGGTGTCCAACTGCTAATGTTTTATTTTTCTCTACAGAAAGAAATTCAAGCCATGAGTCAGTGCCATCACCCCAACATTGTATCCTACTACACATCCTTTGTGGTGAAAGATGAGCTTTGGCTGGTGATGAAGTTACTTAGTGGAGGTGAGTGGTCCAATTTCTTTATCCTAAAAGGCAGCATAAAAACCTGTCTTCCCTCCTTCCTCTCTCCCTTGTTTACCTCTTAAGCTTCCCACCTGTGAATTAAGACATTTCCTAGAATTGTAGAGTTGTTTTGGTTGGAAAAGACCTCTAGGATCAGAAAGGCCAACCATTACCCCAGCACTGCCAAGTTCACCACTAAAACCCTGTCCCCAAGTGTTATATCTAAAAACCTTCTAAACACCTTCCAGGATGGTGACTCCACCACATCCCTGGGCAGCCTGCTCCAGTTCCTGGCCACCCTTTCCATGAAGAAAATGTTTCCTAATATCCAGTCCAAACTTCCTGTGGTGCAGCTTGGGACGGTTTCCTCTTGTCTTACTGCTTGTTCCCTGGGAGCAGAGCCCAATCTCCACCTGACTGCCCCCTCCTGTCAGGRAGCTGTGGAAAGTGAGGAGGTGCTTCCTAAGCCTCCTTTTGTCTGAGCCCCCTCAGCTGCTCCTTGCCAGCCTGGTGTTCCAGACCCATTCCCCAGCTCCAYTGCCCTTCCCTGGACYCACTCCAGCCCCTCAGTGTGTTTCTTGTAGTGAAGGGCCCAGAACTGCACACAGCACTTGAGGTGCCTGAGCAGTGCTGAATACAGGGGGACAGTCACTGCCCTGCTCCTGCTGCCACACTATTGCTGACACAGGCCAGGTGACATTGCCCTTCTTGCCCGTCTGACCACATGCTGGCTCATATTCAACCATTGTCAACAAGCACCCCCAGGTCCTTTCCCACCAGGCATCCTTCCAGCCATTATGTATGAAAAATAATTAATTTCAACCCATTCAGCTCAGATATAACTTCTTATGCTATGTCCATCAGTARTAACACCTAACTAGCTTTTTAAAATCACTGCCTGTTTTACACAGAGCCCGGAAAATGTTCCTTTTCTGGATTTATTCTCCCAGACACAGGAGAAACAGCTTTTTTCGAGAGAGTTTGAAAATTTTGTATCAGCAATGTTTTATTTGAAGTCATAGTATTTTCCAGGATCCCTGTTTAAGTTACAGTTGAGACAAGAAATGGAATCAAGTTCTGGATGATAACACAAAGGACTGTTSCTAAATCCTGGGCCTGTCTTTAGGAAGACTTCATTTTTGGTCACTGCAGTGAAAAGGAATTAAAAACTGAAAAAGAAAAAAATCCCTATTTTCCTGCTTTTATAAAAACCCCAACTTGACTTCTCTGTTCTTGGCTTAATTTTGAGGACTGTAAAATGCCAGAAGATGATKTAGAAAAATCTGGCTAAACGTGTTCACTTTTTGCCCAAAAGCTCAACAATGACCATAAAACATATGTCTTTGAAGGTGTTCTTAAGAGAAGTTTAGTAGTCCTCTTGGGGTAAATCAAATTCCATGACAACTTGAGTCTGTCTTAAAGGGTTTTTAATGTATTATGTRTTCATGTGTCATTAAGCAATACCCTCTGTTTTCTTAGAGGGACATGTAACAGATAATTAAAGATATGACGACTGTGCGTGGAAAAGAATCCCCTGCCAGCTTAGAGCAAGTAGTGTTGCTGTGTGTATAAAATGTGTATCTATGGGAAAGTTTCCACAACATGAGGAAATGGCATCTCAGGGGTGCTGGAGAGGCAGCAGTGATTGGCTTAGCCTTTTCCAGGAGAGTACACAACCTTTTTGAAGAAAATGCACAGCTGCCTCAGTCATTTCACAGCAGTTTTCTGTCAGAATCAAGTCACGATGAGGCTCATCCTTGAACCTCCAAATATTGTCTCTGTTTGTTCTCAATTTGTGTGGAGGTTGTTTTTTTTTTTTCTTTTTTTTTTTTTGTGTAAAGCTGGGAAAAAAGTCAGACCATCATTATCAAGGCACTGCAGATGTAAATATTACACTGGAAAATTACTGGGAAAATAATTATTGCTTCAAAACCAGCCTCTTGCTGGTGTGAATGATGACCTGCTTCTCATTTAATATTCCTTTTGAATGGGCTTTTATGTTCTTCAGGCTGATAATTGACCCTTGTGCAGCTCTGGAATTTAGTGGGGGACTTGCAGTAGAGCGGTTGCTAGGAAATCTCCCTGATTCTTACTCTGTTATATGTGTTGAAGAATAGGGCCATACCATAAGACAGACTAGTAACAGTATAATTCTTCCCTCTCCCCAACATTTTTATCAGTCGATGTTGAATTGTCTCTTTAAAAGGTATCATTTGAAGGCTAGAGCAATTGTGAAAGWACGTAGAAAGACTTGGAGAATGACCTGTCACTTTTGAAGCAGGAGGGTTCCTTGTGAGGTGCTTTTCAGCTGTTTTCACTTTCTACTTTTCTGCCTGTGCTTCAGAAATCTCATATTGGATCTCATAGGCTAAATCTACAGCACAATCTTAAAATGGGGGAAGAAACTTGTGATTGGAGTTTTCTGACTGAAGAGCTTTTTCCTTCACGTTTAATGAGACTATTTTCAGTTGGTCTTAGGCTGAGTGATTTATGTAACCAGAGACACTTTTAAAACTGCCTCTCATTCCTTTGAGCTTAGTTCTTATCAGTAATAAAGTGCCTCRTTTTGCAGTCATCTGTCATACAGTGGGAAAAATAATGATCTAGGTTTCTCAACAGGAAAAACCTTTGAGCTGGTTTTGAAAGCAGAAAACAAAAAACCCAAAGAAAAAACAAAACCAACAAAATAAAAAATAAACATGCAAACAAAAAACCTTCCACCAAAACAGACCCAAAACAGAGTACAGCCTAATGTTTTCATTTTGTTTAGCTGTTCAAAGAGATTTGTACATCCAAATAAGTGCAAATGAAATACATTTTGGTGTCTGTTCGGTATCCTTATCATGACTTTTGTACTTCTGAATTTATTCTGGATAAAAGTTCAGAATTTTATTGCCTCTCTTCTGTCAGTGTATGCTGGTGTGTGATTTCAGGCTGAAACTAGTTTTAATTTCAGCCTACGAACACTGACCTTATTAATTTGATAAACAGCCCACAAGACACAGCCCAATCTGTAATGCAAATCTTTTTTATTGTTGTAAGTGCAATTTAATTTATTTTCTGTCTTCAATCTTTTGATGAGCTCCTAACTTGGTCATACCAGCAAGTGTTTTAGAAATGTCTCTAWGGGAAAATACTCTAAATCCATAAAGTTTTATTGTCTAACAGTGCCTTGCTCCTCTGACAACCGGAGGGTGCACTCAGAGTTATCCTAATTACCTGATTGACGTTGTCACTGAAACGGAACTATTTGTCTCCACAAGWACTCTGTTGATGGGAGATTTCTATATTTGAAAGTTGTCAGCAGGCAGGAGGTAACATTGGGGAGCAGCACGGCTGCTGATGTGCATCAGAGCCCGGGAAGGCTGGTRGGAGCCACTGCTGAGAGCAGTCTCAACTGGCAGTGCTGACACCAAAGCAGGTGTGGAGTTGCTGATGGCAGAAAYGTGGCTGGGATGAGATGCAGCTGGTAGAGACAAGGGGTGCTGGTGTGTCCAGTTACTGTCACCCTCTTTCAGGTCTGGTGATGTGTGTCTGTGTCAAGTTTGTGAAGTGTCTGCTGTTTCTATTCTCTTCAGTAGAAACTGCAGATCCTTTTCTCKAATCATGGAAGTTTTGTAGTGCTCTAAGCTTAGCAATGTGAACTCGACACCTCGGCCTTTGGGTCCGGTGTTACTCCAAACTAAACTCCAATGGCTATTTCTAGACAACTGCTGACCTGCTCTTTGCCTCCCTGGCATTCTCCTCTCTTGAATTTTACTCATGCCTTTTTAAAGCCTGCTAAAGCYCAGTCCTGCTCTCAAGCTCCTGTGGCTTTTTAGTAGGAAGAGGAGCAGCTGTTCCTTTGTTCCTATGCTTTTACTGATTGTGAATGCTGGCTCTTCTAAATTCTCCCTGCTTTTAACAAGAGCTCTCATTTCACAGGTGACCTAGGGCTGTAGATAACTCTATGAAACAGTTGCTCCTATGAAACAGCCAGCTCTGGTGACTTGGTGCATCACACAACAACTCTTACTGTCCTAGCCTACAGCAAATGAAACCTTCAAAATATTTTTTAAATTGTGCAAATCCTTTAATTATTGAAACATTTCCAGATTAGGCTCTTGGATATTCTGCCCTCTCAAAGGCTCCTAATGAAATCTGCTAAGGAGATTGCTGTATTGAAATAGTTAAACCTTTTATTTTCTACAAATTTTAAAGATTATCTGATCAACTTCTTACCTCAGCCTTTGATCTGAAGTTCAGAAAGCCAGACCAAAAAGGAGGTAGGCCTTTGGTCTCCATTAGGGAATTAGGACATCTTGTTCTGYTTCTGCTGTGTTAATCTCTGATGTGGCCCCTCCTAATTCCAACAGAGTTATGATCAAAGCGTAAACCACAGGTTCTTAGAAATCCTCATGTTTATGTTGAATTATTTTTTTAGGAGAGAGATATCCTATTTTTAATTAATCTGGAGGGTTTTTCATTTTATTTGTAGAAACACAATTGCAGACAATTAAGGATGGAATAAGTCAGAAGCAGGAGATGGCAGGAGCATGGTTGCAGAGTGCGTAGATACATTGCCACTCCTAGCTGTAATAGCAGAAACATGAAAAATTAGTTTGTCTTCAGATTTTCTCCTATAAATGTCTTAATCACAGCTGCAATAGGCTGTTTTCCTCCCTTTGTTGTATTATCTTGTTTTCTGCCTTAATCTTCTCATATTTCTCATGCATCCATGCACATGCCCTGGAGGGAAGGAGGCAAGAAGTGGAAGATTCCTTAGCTTTCCCTCTGAGGTTTAACCAGGGTTAATGTATTTTCCTTTGTTTTGTAAAACTTGTTGTTTCCTTTACTTTGCTATTCTCTTGCTGTGTCTGTATTCCATAGTCCCAGAAGCACTGAATCCAGGCAGCTCTTCYTTCTTTTGCATTTTCTTCATATGTTTGCCAGAGATTGACAAGGTGCAGATTTAATTCTTGGCTCTGATGACAGCCAGGCTCACTGAAACTGCTGGCTAA